CACAGACGATGTATCCGACCGCTGAGCGTGCACAGACGATGTGACCGCTGAGCGTGCACAGACGATGTATCCGACCGCTGAGCGTGCACAGACGATGTACCCGACCGCTGAGCGTGCATAGACGATGTACCCGACCGCTGAGCGTGCATAGACGATGTACCCGACCGCTGAGCGTGCACAGACGATGTACCCGACCGCTGAGCCGACCGCTGAGCGTGCACAGACGATGTATCCGACCGCTGAGCGTGCACAGACGATGTACCCGACCGCTGAGCGTGCACAGACGATGTATCCGACCGCTGTAGCGTGCACAGACGATGTATCCGACCGCTGAGCGTGCATAGACGATGTACCCCACCGCTGAGCGTGCATAGACGATGTATCCGACCGCTGTGCGTGCATAGACGATGTACCCGACCGCTGAGCGATAGACGATGTCCGACCGCTGAGCTGCACAGACGATGTATCCGACAGCGTGCACAGACGATGTATTCGACCGCTGAGCGTGCACAGACGATGTACCCGACCGCTGAGCGTGCACAGACGATGTATCCGACCGCTGAGCGTACACAGACGATGTATCCGACCGCTGTGTGTACACAGACGATGTATCCGACCCCTGAGCGTACACAGACGATGTATTCGACCCCTGAGTGTGCATAGACAATGTGTCCGACCGCTGTATGTACATAGACAATGTATCCGACCGCTGCGCGTACATATAGACAATGTATCCGACCGCTGCGCGTACATAGACAATGTATCCGACCGCTGCGCGTACATAGACAATGTATCCGACCGCTGCGCGTACATAGACAATGTATCCGACCGCTGCGCGTACATAGACAATGTATCCGACCGCTGCGCGTACATATAGACAATGTATCCGACCGCTGCGCGTACATAGACAATGTATCCGACCGCTGCGCGTACATAGACAATGTATCCGACCGCTGCGCGTACATAGACAATGTATCCGACCGCTGCGCGTACATAGACAATGTATCCGACCGCTGCGTGTACATATAGACAATGTATCCGACCGCTGCACGTACATAGACAATGTATCCGACCGCTGCATGTACATATAGACAATGTATCTGAATATATGAATAAATAAAAGTAAAATAAACTAAATGTATCTGACCGCTGCACGTACGTACACAATGTATCCGACCGCTGCGCGTACGTAGACAATGTATCCGACCGCTGCGCGTACATATAGACAATGTATCCGACCGCTGCGTGTACATAGACAATGTATGCGACCGCTGCGCGTACATATAGACAATGTATCCGACCGCTGCGCGTACATATAGACAATGTATCCGACCGCTGCGCGTACATAGACAATGTATCTGACCGCTGCGCGTACATATAGACAATGTATCCGACCGCTGCGCGTACATATAGACAATGTATCCGACCGCTGCGTGTGGATATAGACAATGTATCCACCCACTGTGCCCACATAGACAATGTATCCGAACGCTGCGCGTGCATATAGACAATGTATCCGACCGCTGCGCGTGCATATAGACAATGTATCCGACCGCTGCGCGTACATAGACAATGTATCCGACCGCTGCGCGTACATAGACAATGTATCCGACCGCTGCGCGTACATAGACGATGTATCCGACCGCTGCGCGTGCATATAGTCAATGTATCCGACCGCTGCACGTACATATAGACAATGTATCCGACCGCTGCGCGTACATATAGACAATGTATCTGAATATATGAATAAATAAAAGTAAAATAAACTAAATAAATACACAAATATATAAAAATAATCATAACCAAATAGATAATATATTATATTATAATAAATTAATATCATGTCATAATAAAAAAATAATAATTCACCCCAAACCTTAACCCCCTAACCCTAAAAAAAAAATGAATCATAATAATGATAATAATAATAAAAAAAAAACCTGAACAAAAATATTATAATTATAATATTAATTTTATTTATTTATTTATTTTGCGTTAGGTGTAGGGTGTTTATTTTTTATGATTATTATTATTATTATTATTATTATTATTAATAAATAATATTAATAATAATAATTTATTAAAAAAAAAAATAAAGGGTTCGGGGGTTAAGGTTAGGGGTTGATTATTATTTATTTTTTATTATATAATATTCATTTATTTTATTTATGATTGTTTTCATTTATTTGTGTAACTATTTTATTTATTCACCATCATCATTATTATTATTAACACTCGAACTCTAACAAGAAAATAAATAAATAATAATAAGACAATAAATAACATACCCTTCCTTCTAGACTGTAAGCTCTAACGAGCAGGGCCCTCTGTTTCCTCTTGTACCAAATTGTATTTTAACTGTATTGTCTACCTTTATATTGTTAAGCGCTGCGCAAACTGTTGGCGCTATATAAATCCTGTATAATAATAATAATTAACCCCTAGCCCTTAACTTTAACCCCTTACCCTAAAAAAAAAAAAAAAGAAAATGAATAATAATAAAAAAAATAAATAAAAGTTGATGGGAAAGCTATAAAAGCAGAAAAACCTAGCAACAAATGATGCAACAGATGATATTTTTCACTATCGGCTAATAAAAAAATGCCAGAGCTCAAAAAAACGCCTGTAAAACACTGTATGAAAATGTGCAAAAATTCATGAAAAAACACTTAAAGATGCTATGCTTAAGTGTGAATCCAGCCTTAAGATCTCATGCACACTGGACATTTTTAATGTGGCTGTTAGGGGCATTTTTTTTATCTCCCTCTAAACATGCCTGTATGTTAGCCTATCTGTCCATACACACAAAGGGGGTTAGAGGAGCTTAGAGTAGGGGTCCAGGATCAGCAGCGTTTTGGCAGAAAAAAACTATTGGCGCATGAAAATGTAAATTAACCCTAGGCATGTTTAGCGCTTGAGCATGAATTCATTTCAATGGCCAGAACAAATTATTATTCTGGCCAATTAAATGAATTATTATTATTATTATATTATTATTATACAGTATTTATAAAGCGCCAATAGTTCGCTCAGCGCTGTACATTACAAACATGTGACAGAACAATACCAATACAATGCAAAACATGAGGGGATCGAGGGCCCTGCTCTTTCGAGCTTACAATCTAGAAGGGACGGGATAGGGGTACAGGAGGAGATAGCTGTGGGGGATGGAGTGGTAGGAAGAGTGGAGGAGGTCAAGTTAGCAGGGGGTAGGCTTCCTGAAGAGATGGGTTTTCAGGGTGCGCCTAAAGGAGAGGAGAGTAGGTGATAATCTGATGGGTTGGGGCAGGGAGTTCCAGAGGATGGGTGACACACTGGAGAAGTCCTGGAGGGCGGGCATGGGAGGAGGAGACCAGGGAACTAGAGAGAAGGAGATCTTGTGAGGAGCGGAGTGTGCGTGCTGGGTGGTACTTGGATATTAGGTCAGTGATGTAGTTCGGGGCAGTATGGTGGACAGCTTTGTACGTCAGTGTTAGGATTTTAAATTTGATCCGTTGCGCAATCGGAAGCCAGTGGAGGGATTGGCAGAAGGGGGGTGGCGGAAACGGAGCGGTTGGAAAGGTGAATGAGTCTGGCAGCCGTATTCAGGATCGACTGAAGCGGGGATAGCCAGCGGCGAGGCAGGCCAGTGAGGAGGGAGTTGCAGTAGTCGAGTCGTGATATGATGAGGGAGTGGATGAGCTGTTTAGTGGTTTCTGGGGTTAGGAACGTGCGGATTTTGGCGATGTTGCGGATTAACACCCAAATGCATGAAGCTCCTAAACACACCTCAATGCATTGCATGCGTTTACAAGAGTCAAACCTCACAGATTTCTGTGGATGTTGAAATAGATTCCAGGTGATAAAATGTGTTCTAACCACAGCGGGATCTGGGTTAGTAGTCAGATTTTAGCCTGTCCCTGCATTGATTGGGTCATACTAACCAGTGGCACTGTGCGCTCTGCAAATAACATGAGAGATAAGATAAGAAGATACAGAAAATCAGCAGGAAAATACTCTCAATGAAGCAGATGTTATGGAAACGGAAATCTTATATTTTTATTGTAACAAGTCGTTTTCACGCTCAGTAAAGAAAACTTTTGTTTGCTTTAAATATCCTATTGGGCTTGCCTTTTGAATAAACCAGTTTACCTCCCTCAGACATGGAATATGAACAAAGTTTATCCCACTATTGTGTGTACTTGTCTGAATCCAGAGCACTAAGTGTCATTTCTGTCTGCTGTCTCCTTCATCTGCTTTCAGCATGAATCACTTCTAACAAGTTTTCCTGATGCCAAAAAAAGAATGGTGACAGGGGAGGGACCTCCAGGGGATTGACAACCTCAGCTCTGTTCCTGTGAGCTGTGTGGAGGGGGGGGGGGTGTCCTTTCCTTCCAATCAGGTCCCAGAGCTCTTGTATAGTGTGTAACTGCAGCTCCCTGCCCCCATGCTTTTCAGAGCTGAGAGATCCTGCACTTTGAATGAATATAGGGGAAAGATAGCTGTAGATAAACAGGTACAACTTATGTAGGGGGAATTTTTTCATTTCTGCGCATCCAATGGTGTATTTAGTCTATGTGCTGCCCTTGGCAACACTAAAATCGGGTGCCCCCCACTAGCATCCCCCCCCCTCGCCACTGCCACCACCCTCCACCACCACAGCCCACCACTGCAATCCCCCTCCATCCCCAACCACCGCAACCACCAACCAACACACATCCCCCACGCCGCCCCTCCCCCCCATCACATCCACCTGATTCATGCATTAAACGTAAACTGTGGAATGAAAAAAACAGCCGGCCATTACCACATCTCCCAGCAGCGTGCAGCCTCCTTGGATCTCATGGCAGAGCTGACCAGGTCCCCATCCCTGCCACTAGTGTTCCTTCTTCTGGGGGGCAGTGCCGCCCCGCTGAAAATTGCCACCCTAGGCAAACCTCTTATTTGCCTTGTGGTAAATACACTGCTGTGTGTATCACCCGAGGTCAGTCACTTCATTGAGTATATGGATGGGTTTACAACAGGGGCGGACTGACCATTTGGAAACTTGGGCACTGCCCGAGGGCCCGGGGTCAGTAGGGGGCCCATGAGAGATGCCCCTGGTACCTTTTTCATAGGCTTTTTTGAGTTTTGGCAAGGACACAGGGGCCCCATGATCCCCTATTGCTCGGGGGCCCATGAGTTGTCAGTCCACCCCTGGTTTACAAGCACTTTAACCTCCCTAGTAGTCTGATTATGTCCATATTTCTGTGCTCAAAGCGGTACATTTTTTTGCATGGAAATATGTCATTTTTTTATTGTAGGCCTGTAATTTTTAGGAATAACTCACTGAAATCTGTCCGAACAAAAGTCTAGTAAACATCCCGGGTATGATAAAACTTGAAACACGAAATCATAAATTATAATTTAATAAATAATCATAAAAAATAATAATATAATAATAAATTTAATTCAATAATATAATCAAGCCAAAAACACTGAAATTTGGAATATAGCGCCAAGTTCGCACATCGCTGAGCAAAGTCGCAAAATCGTTTTCAGTGTCTGATGATGAATTTCCCCACGAATCATTATCGCTTAATTCTGAAAGTGGTTCTGATTTACTATCATGTTCTCTAGCTGGTCTAAAACCGCTTTTGACCAAAGGGATGCTTTTTTGGACGCCATGGACTTTGCTAAGTTTCCAGGCAGAAAGAACAGTAAACATGCAGGCAGGGCACAGGACAAAGCAGTAGGGACAAAATGTATGTGAAATGCTTTGAAACAGTAATGTTTTTTTTTTTTTTTTTTAATTTAAATATTTATTAATTTTTCATATTATTACAACAACAATTCCATAAGAAAAGACACAATACATATAAATAATCAATATACTTCTACTTTGTCCCTTCTATTTACCTCTTTTCTTTCCCTTCCCTCCCAAGCCACCTTTTCCCCCCTTCCCCCCTCCCTCCCCACAGCAAGCTCTCCAATCTCTCTAGGCCCAATAACTTCAAATAACTTCCTAGTTTAGAGTTTTCTATATTTCTCTTTCAATCCTGATTTTTCCCATTTTTCCCATCGCGAATAGTATAATTTCAACCTGTCTTCCTGAATATAATAAGATTTTTCCATTCTACTAATCTGGTTTACCCTATTGATCCAATCCTCCTCCGTCGGCACTTCTGTCTTCCACCAAAACTTGGGAATCAACCCTTTTGCAGCACTTAAGTAGTACCATACGCCTGATTCTTTGTATTTATTTACTGTTGTCTCAACATTATGTAGGAGACACATGGTTGGGGTCTAATCCTATGTCATTTCCAGTTATTATTTCTATTAATTTGACTATTGTCTTCCAGAAAACCTGAATTTTTGGACATTGCCACCATATGTGAAACACCGTGCCCTCTTCCCCACATCCTCTCCAACACATTTTTGAAATCTCCCCCCTCATCCTGTGCTCAGTGCTCAGAGTAATATGCCATCGTGTCAAACATTTATAGTTAATCTCAACGTCTCTCATACTAACACTCTCGTGAACTAATCTAAATATCTTATTCTGTTGATCTTCATCTATCACCACCTCCAGTATCTCTTTCCCAATTTGTTATAAAAATTAACTTTGTGTCTGTGTCTAATTCTGTGAGTATTCTATACATTTTTGTAACACCGTGTTTCCCATCTCTACGTGTTTCTAATAGCCTTTCAAACATATTCCACTCCTTTTTTAATCTCAAGGGTTTTGGGAGAGTTCCAATAAAACATTTTAATTGATGATATTTCCACTCATCTATTTTAGTAAACATATCTCCTCCCCTCTCTTTTAATTCTTTAAATGTTCTCAATTCCCCCTCTACCAATACGTCTCTCAATTGGATATCTTCCTTTTTAAACCATCTCCCTGATATCTCATCTTTTCCTGGAGGGAAAAACTCCGTGTTTGCAAGAGGCATTAATATAGAGTTGAATTCCCATTTCATGTGTTTGTGCAAATTATCCCATATCCTTAAAACGTTTAAAGTGAAAGTGCTTGTGCTTTCTTTAATTCTTCTATAATGTGCTGGAACCCATATCATCTTACTCAAACTAATTCCACTCAGTTCATTTTCTATTTTTACCCAACTTTTCCCCTTCTGGTTAAAAGTCCAATCATATATTCTTGCTAAAATTACTGCTTTGTAATATCTCTTGACATCAGGTAGTCCCATCCCCCCTTTCTCTTTAGTCCTACTCAGTGTTTCATATGATATTCTTGGTTTTTTATTCCTCCATATATATCTTGTTAACATTCTTCTCATTATCTTTAAAAAACGCCTCTGGGAGTTTGATTGGGATCATTTGAAATCTATAGAGTATTTTAGGTATAATTACCATTTTAACTAGATTTATACGTCCTAACCATGATGGATTTCCTCCTTCTAATCTTTTTAGTTCGTCCTTAGTCTCATTTATCAGGGAAATATAGTTTAATCTATACAGTTGTTTATATGAGGTAGCAAGTTTTATTCCTAGGTATTTTATATCTTTTTCTCTCCATATAAAGGGGAATTCTTTTTGTAGCTTTTCTTTTTTGCTCTTTGGTATATTGATGTTCAGAATCTCTGTTTTTGTTGGGTTAATTTTTAGATTTGATAGTTCACCATATTCCTTCAGGGTCTTCATTATACTTGGTAGTGTTATTCGGGGGTTGCCTACATAAAACAATAGGTCGTGTCCGCAAAGGCCGCTACTTTATGTTCTATATCTTCTATCTGGATTCCCTTTACCGCTCCACTATTCCTTATTATTGATAACAGGGGTTCCAATGTCAAAACGTACAGCAAGGGGGATAATGGACAGCCTTGTCTTGTTCCATTGGACATCCCAATGGATTCCGACCTCTCCCCATTTACCGTGATGATTGCGGTGGGCTCCCTATATAATTTACCTATCCACTCACGCATTCTCTCTCCAATCCCCAACACTTCCAAGTTGTCCATCATAAAGCCCCAGTCCACTCTATCAAACGCCTTTTCGGCATCAATTGACAAGAGCACCACCGGGGCTTTTCCTCTTCTACTTTTCTGGATAAGCATCAAAGTTCTCAACCCATTGTCTCTACCCTCTCTCCCCGGGACAAAGCCCACCTGATCTCCATGGATCCATTCAGGCATTAGGTCTTTCAGCCTGTTTGCTAAAACCTTTGCGTACAACTTGATATCAGTGTTTAATAATGAAATTGGTCTGTAACTAGAGCACTGAGAAGGATCTTTTCCCTCCTTATGAATGAGGACGACATGGGCCTGAAGGGATTCCCTCCTCCCCTCCATCCCCCCTCCCAAGTCATTCATATACTTCTTTAACTTTGGTAACAGTACTTCACAAAATTTTTTATAGTACTTAACTGTATAACCATCCGGGCCTGGGCTTTTCCCTCCCCCTGTACTTCTTAATGCTACTTCTATTTCTTCCTGGGAAATTTCCGCATCCAAGGAGTTCAATTGTGTTTCACTGAGCTTTGGCAATCCAGCATTTTTTAAATATATCTTCCTTTTTTCGTTAATATCTTCTCTAATTTCTTTTGGTGAACCTTGGTGACTGATGTTATACAACTTTCTATAATACTCTGTGAGTACTTTAATGATTTCTTTAGTGGAATGGACCAACTCCCCCTTAGGGCTTTTTATCTTTTCTATATAATTCCTGTTTTTCTTTTTATTCAGGGCTCTCATTAAGTATTTTCCTGGTCTGTCTCCCCATCTATATCTTTCACTTAATACTTTGTTATATACTCTTCTCCTCTCCTCTTCCATCAATCTCTCTAATTCGTCTTTTTTATCCATTAACTTCTGTCTTGTTTCTATTGTTATTTTCTTTTATGTATCTGCTCCAAATCCAAGATTTCCTTTAAGAGTCCACTAACCCTCTCTCTTCTTTCTTTTTTCTTCCTTGCTCCCATCGCAATCAAGATTCCTCTTATATATACCTTATGACTTTCCCATACTGTAGCTGTCGTTACTTCCTCTGTCTCATTCTCCTTGAAATATACCTTAATCTCTTCCCTGATCTTCTGCACAATATCTTCATCCAAGAGAAGAGCCTCATTTAACCTCCATCCTAAACCTCCCGTCCACCTTTTTCCCCATCCTATTTTCATTATGACAGGGGCATGATCCGAGAAAGTTCTTGTCTCTATTTCTATTTTAACCAGCATTTCAATGAGTTGATGATCTATTAGAATGTAATCCAGTCTCAAGTATATCTCATGTGCATTAGAGAAGAAGGTATAGTCTCTGTCTTTCATATGCATCATTCTCCAGGTGTCCACCAGTTGGTACTCGTGGATCGCCTTCTTCAAGGCTCTCAGAGACCTACCCCCCCCTCTCTCTGCACAAGGGAGGTTGCATCCTTTTGTGGGTCCATACAAAGATTTAAATCTCCTGCTATTATCAAACGCCCTTTTTTAAAATCTATCAATTTTTTTCAGCAAACCCTTCAAAAAGATCTCCGGTTTCTTATTGGGGCAATATATATTGGCTAGTGTACACTCAATTCCCTGTAGTTTACCTTTCAAGAACAGGAATCTCCCCTCCGGATCAGTCTTTCTATCTTCCAACTCAAATCTCATATTCTTTGCCAATCCTATTGCCACCCCCTTTGCTCTTTTAATTGGAGAGTCAGCGTAATACCATGTTGGATAGTATTTGGATTTTAATTTCACATTTGATTCTATCTCAAAATGTGTCTCCTGTAAAAATACCACTGACGTTGCCCTGTGATGTAACTCTTTAAACAACTTAAATCTTTTCCCAGGACAATTCAACCCATTCACATTATATGTTATAAACTGTATTTCTTCCATCCTTCTTGATTCTGTCTATCTCTCTTCTGATTCGTCTCCTCCTATTAGGGCCCCCCTACTATCTTGCAGCATTTCAACCCAACCTCCCCTCTCTCAGCTCCCTCCCTCCCGCCCAACCCCCATCTCCCACTCCCACCCCCCGCCCTCTCTTCTTTTTCCCCTACCCATTTTTAGGCTTATAGACTGCCTACAAATCATTTGTGGATCTGTTTCCACCTTTTGATTTAAAATTTAGGGCGTAAGCTCCGCCCATGTGCGGCTCACCTCTCCTCCGACCCCCCCCCCCCCAGGTCCCCTCTCTCTATCAGCTAGACTCCGGAAGTATCTTTACTTCTCTCCTAACCGGAGCTTCCCGGAGGACCTCAACTTTCAGGGGGGGAGAGACCAGGGGCGAGAGAGAGAGAGAGAGAAAAAAAAAAAAAAAACATCTACTTAATTCTCCCTCCCTTCCCTCCCCAACCTCAAAGCCTCCCTCCCCCTTCCC